AATGTATAATTATCTTACCAAATGTTTGAGATATTTTCTATATATCTCTAAATAAGGGTCACTGAGTGCCATGAATGTAAACAACGTGTCTCGGACCAAATTGAGGCAGTATTGCTATTGGCAGCGGCAGTGGCAGCAGTCATTGGACCGAAGTCGAGTTTGGCCATGCGACTTCTCATGATTCAACATTTATGATGAATCGTTTTTCTAGATTGATTGCATTTGGGGGCTATTTCTAGGGTCAGCATACCCAATCGGTACATTCGGGATGCTCACTATCAGGGTCGTCATACGTTGGTTTTCAGCATCACACGATTGACTGGGCGTATTTTCACACTTTCATTAACACTTCCACTTTTATCACCACTTTTCCCATGTCTCAGAGTTCATTTGTGGCCATAGTCAAATGAGTTTTTTGCGAGGTGTGATTGCCCCCACTTCCGGATTTTCACGCTAATCGGTACCTCTCAATATGGCCGACCTCCTCACAGATATATGCAGAATTGGATGGTGTGGTACTTGGTTTGATTGTCGTCTCTATTCGATGGTTAGGGCTGGTTGGAATTGCTCAAAATGTCCTTTAGATTCTTCTTCCAGCTTAGGACTTATCAGATGTTCCTTCACCTCAACCAACATATTCTCAAATTTGGTTCTAGTTACTGCATGATTGCAGTGATGCATCTCTTTGGATTGAAGAGAAGGGAAATTCACGCTCTCTCCTCCCTTTAGCGTCGTATTTATCCGCACGGACATAGATACACACATATGCACTCACACGCACACACACACACAAGTCTTTTCAACAAGCATTTTCAGATCTGACATTGTCTAGACTAACTTACATATTCTTACGATGTCTGTCAACTGGTAGATCAGGTGAGAGGTTGAGATGTTTCCGTCGGGGTTGTAGCTTGTCAGAAATGTCTCTAGTACCATCTCCAGTGGGTTGCGTCCTCTTAGCGCCAAAATTTACGTCGTCAAGGCAACGAGCTAGTTTGTTTAGACCTCTTTCTGTAGAACGGGTACTCTTCCGATGCTGGGGGGAGTTGTCTGGTTGAAGAAGCGAGAAGCAATGCTTAAAATATACTTTTTTGATACACATTTCTGTCATATTCTAACGCCTGGCAGATGTACCGGTACTGCTCCAAATGGCCCAATCCGAATGGTGCATCCCCGTTTGAAACAAGTTGGGGTTTAACAAGACTGTTCTTTCATGAAGTAGAAGGGAATAAGGTACCAACTGAGGCATATGGGCTGAATGAGGGCTCTTCTACACTGGAGAATGGCGTTATGATGATCCGTGTGAGTCCGGCCGCGAAAAAGTGAAGGAAAAACCCGCGTTTGCGCAGAAATTCAAGGCGAATCCCTCATTTAAATGGACCGCGGTCTCTACTTCATCTCTTCCGGGACAGGCATACAACTCCCAAAGACAGATAACTTTCCAGGCTTTGTTTTATTACCAAATAAACGTGACTTTGGAGCATCTCTCCTGTAGGCTTTTGGATTGATAATAAATTATTTGTCTACCAAATGCTACCACGTGTGAAAAAAATGCCAATTCACAACTAAGCACACAGATTTATTGTAGCAAAAAAATAACAAATAAGTATTATTTTGAGCCTTGAGTAGATATTGTATACGTTTTTCACACAACAAAATGAGCATGCCTCATTTTATCGATAAACAGTTGCGTTTTTTTCATCAGAACTCGCATGCTACTGACTTGCTAGTAAGTAACAGAGTTGCTTAGTTTACTGTAGATGAAAAGATAAACTGGGTTTTTATGAATTTCTGTTTTCCATTTGTTATATTACCGTTATTTTAAATTTATGTGCTAATACTGTTTGATAGACCAGTGTTATCAGTTTCTCCCCTATTTTAAAATGATTATTATTATCTGTGTTTTTGAGGATTACATACGTATATATGTATATATATAATTATTAACTATTTCCCACTATTTTTTTCGGTTTTTATGTCATCTCTTTTATTCTACTATGTGTCCTGTAAGCATATATTCCATTTTTGTACGTTTTGGGTCTAAGCATAAAACTTAGGGCAAGCCTACTCCCTAAGAGCATTCTAACCAGCATAGCTACACAAAGTTTTTCCCACACTATTGTAGTTAAAGCAATGACGCCGTTCGTGGTCCATGTGATTTCTTTGTGATCAAAATACTGCCAAAAT